TTTCATATTATTTGGTCTTAGCCCCATGGTTCCTGGCTCACAGCTCCCCAAACCCTTGGAATTTCCTGCGTGATAAGAGCAATGGGAGCATTTTTTGTCATAATATTTGGTCTCTTGTCCTCAGTTTCTGAAATTACTTCAGAGCCATGAAGGGCAAATGGGTGTTTTGTTATTCATAAGAAGCCCCTTCCACCACAACTGGGTTTATGTTAATGAGGTGACTTATGGGAAGTACCTAAGGATCGGGGCTGGTTGCCAGAGGAGCCAACTATGTGATTAGAGGTTGCAACTTTCATTTGTCTCCCTGCCCTATTTTCTGGGAGGGTAGAGGGGCTGGAAGTTGAGTTCAATCACCAATGGCCAATGACTTAATCAAGCATACCTATTTTAATGAAGCCTCCATAAAAGCCCAAAAGGTTGGGTTTTGGAGAGCTTCCAGGTTGGTGAATATAATTCATGGAGATTTGGGAGAGTGGTGGGGTGGGGGAGGGCATGGACACTCCCTGTCATTTCCTTATACTCTGCTCTATGAAACTCTTCCATCTGGCTGTTCCTGAGTTACAGCCTTTTATAATAAATGGTAATCAGTTAAGTAAAATGTTTCTCTGAGGTCTGTGAGGCGTTCTAGCCAACTAATTGAACCCAAGGAGGGAGTCATTGGAATCTCCTACTATAGCCACTTGGTCCAGGAAACAACCTGGACTTGTCTTGGCATCTCAAGTGAGGGCAGTCTTGTGGGACGGGGTCTGGGTGCTGTCTCTGGGGACCTAATGTCACAATTGAGTTGAATTGTAGGAAGACCAGCTGGCTTCTCTTCCTTCCAGTTTTAAGAGGAATGCATTTAATCTTTCACCATTACATAAGAAATTAGCATCAATTTGAAAATACAATCTGTTTTAGTAATTCAGTCATCTTGCTGTTCATTAACCATAAAGTAGCAAATTGTAAGCTCCCAAGATCCATTTAGTCTAGTATACAATTCTATTCTATAGTCAGTAATGTTTCTGCAAATATCAAATGCATTGATTCCTTTTGTTTTTTTAAGATAAAATCTACTATTGGGTGAATTGTCATCAATCTGAAATTGTGTTTGTTTTAATGGGAAGTAGCAATTTCTTGACTGAGTACATAAAACTAAGGATATGTGATTCACTTTTGTTGTATCACTAAAGTTCTTATTCATCACTTGAATGATATCCAGATTAAATAATTAGAATCCCAATATCTGTTGATCTGTGTCTTATGTCTCTTCACACATGAGGGCACTTATGTTCTAGAAGTCTCTCTAATGTCTTCAGGAGAAAAATGAACAACTCTTTGGAATACATCTGGAACATTCATAAATTCTCTTAAGAGCAGGGTCAGAATTATCTTTAATTACTTGCCATCTCTTGTAGAACTTGTGTATATTTTAGTTCTGCTACATCATAAATAAATTCCCATACTTGAGGCAGCATAATCATTTCCCTGCTCATGGTACCTGAAAGAACCTAATTAACGTATCTAAACCTAGAGTAAGAATAAATTATTAATTTCAGACTCTTTCCTTTGCTTGACAAGGAATTTAGTGCACTTCACATTCCTCAGCCCTCCCTCCTCAGCCCCAACCATCCCCCTAATACTTTTTTTTAAAGATCTATTTATTTATTTGAGAGAGAGAGAGAGAGCATACAAATTGGAGGGGTAGAAGGAGAGTGAGAGAGAATCTCAAGGAGGCTCCGTGTATGGAGCCTGATGCGGGGCTTTATCCCATGTCCCTGAGATCATGACCGAAGCCAAAACCATGAGTCGGATGCCCAACCAAATGCACCACCCAGGCGCCACCCCACAAATACTATTAACAGCCCATGTTAATTTAACATTAGTCTGTGGATTTATCTTACTGGTGGGAAGAACGGAAATATACTAATAAAATAGCAGTTTTATTTTGGAAGCAGCCTGGGTTTAGAGAGAAACTATGTGAGCATCATGTTATTTACCTAAGCCCTAGATGGATGGCAAGATAGCTTTGGGATAAATCTGGTTAGTTAGTGTGGGGAATTTTATTATGACAAAGCTAACATGTAGAACACAGATCAGGAGAGAGTTGAACATCCTTTACCTAATAAGGCCATGGTTATTTGGCAAGTGGTAAAATAAATAGGCAAAATAAGCAGTCTCAAATAAAGAAACTGGAGTGTGTTTCATGTAGGCTAAACTGGCTGGACTTCACAAGAAAAAAGGTTTTACTGTGGCAGTTTATTGCCTCTGGGTGTTTTCGGGAAAAACTCACCCCCAGCAACTCCTGCTGGAGAAGATGGAACAGCGGTTGAAGCTTCCCATCCTCATCCTTTGTCCTTTCGTAGACGACTAACATCCCCAAATGAAAGACATCTTTAGCCTTCCCTCTGCTTCCTGTGCAGCACAATGATATCACAGTCTTTGAGTAGACACAGAAAGACTTACTGATAACAGATGTGGGATAGGGAGCAGAGCTGGTTCTTGTGATCAGAACAAAATTTCCACTCTTTTTTTTTTAAATGAGATATAATTGACATATAACATTGTATTAGTTTCAGGTACACAACATAATGATTTGATATATGTATATATTGCAAAACGATCACCACAATACTTTTAGTGAACATCCATTACCACACAGTTACATTTTTTTTCTTGTGATGAGAACTTTTAAGATCTGTTCTCTTAGCAACTTTCAAATACACAATATTATTAACTATAGTCATCATGATATACATTACAGTTCCAGAACTTATTTATTTTATAATGGCAGTTTGTACCTTTTGACCCCCTTCACCCACTTTGCCCATCCCTGCCCCCACCCCCATCTCTGGCAACCACCAATCGGTTCTCTGTAAGTTCAGCTTTTTTTTTTTTTTAAATTAAGATTCCACATATAAGTGAGATCATACAGTATTTGTCTTTGTCTGATTTATTTCACTTAGCATAATGCCCTCAAGGTCTATCTATGTTGTTGCAAACTGCAGGAGTTCCTTCCTTTTTATGGCTAGATGATATTCCATTGCATTCCAAATGTGAGATATGTATCTCTCTCTCTCTCACATACATTTGCTTTATCCATTCATTGTTGATGGATACTTAGGTTGTTTCCATGTCTTGACCATTGTAAGTAATTCTGCAATGAATATGGGGGTGGTGCAGATGCCTTTTCAAAATAGTAATTTCATGTCCTTTGGATAAATACCCAAAAGTGGAATTGCTGGATCACAATTTTTACTCTTTACGATCATGGCACAGTGCAGTGCTTGGCTGTAGGAATCATGGAAAAGGGAGCACATCGAACACTGCTAGTGTGAACTCAGACCATCTGTCAGCTGGTGGCGATTCCAAAATATTTAGTGTTTCAGTCATTGTTAAGGGCAGACTGGGACCTTTCTCAAATATTTAGGACCAGAAGAATGTTGCCAGGGTGTTCTGGTAGATGTTTAACAACCAGGTCTCTGAACAAAGAAAAAACTCAGATTTATAGTGTTAGCCATTTTCTGTGGTATAGATCCTCCCACTGTGGCTGATTTCAAGCTACCAGTGTTATATTACTAACCTTGCGGTCAGGCAGAGACGCACAGGAGCACATATATAGTATTTCCATCAGGGAAACACAACCAATATCATCTCAAGGGCATAGATAAGAGGAAATTGTAGTAAAATTAGAAAGGTATGGAGTTTTGAGTATTTATTACCTTTGTCTTTAGTACTGGAAATGAAGAGGTAAGGTCTTATTATTGGCAAATAATCTGATTATGTAGAACATTTAATAGGTTTGGGGGGGCCATTTTCCTTCACTTGTGGTTTTCTCACTTGTTCTTTTTACTTTTAGCTGCTCTGGTTCAGAAGGGTTTTTATACAGTGTCTTGGTTTCACATTTTGAGGTTTGCTCAGTTATTTTGTTCTGATTCACTTTGTGACATTGATGCCTGACATATTTCTAAAGGCTAACATTCTGAGAGTGAAATGATAGCTCATTACCGAACAAGGCTTTGTACCCAAACATCATTGTGAGCATATTAAATGTCACTCCTTCCTATTGTTTTCCATAACCCCAAACTGTGTTTTCCTGTTGATTTATTCTGCTATATCAATTTGCTTACTAAAGTGTTTTTAAAATATATCAAGTTTTCGATTTCCAATAAATGACAAATTTAAATTTGGACATATCCAACTTTCTGCTCATTATATAAAGAAAGCAGTTTATAATTAGTCCCAACCAATGTGACCTTGAGTTTCCCCATTATTTTATTTTGTGTAAAATAAATTTAATGTAATATTCTATACATCCTATTTACAGTTTCTTGTTTTATAAAAGGCAAGAGAAACAATATAAGGAACATAGCTTGTTTCATAATCTATGGTCACGATTTACCAGGTAACAAGAGAAAATAAAAGGCGAAAGAGTCTCTTCTAGGAAAATTGATCCTGAATTCTTATCTACATTCTCTGCCCTGTTTAGAAATAATACAAAACTAAGGCTTTTTTTTTAATTGAAGTGTAGTTGACGCACAGTGTTATATTAGTTTCAGGTGTACAACATTGTGATTTGACAAGTTTATACGTGATGCTGTGCTCACCATCAGTGGAGCTGCCATCTGTCACCATACAATGCTATTACAATTCCATGGACTGTATTCCCAATGCTGTGCCTTTTATCTCCACACCTTATTCCTTCTATAACTCCAGGTTTTGTCTCCCACTCTCCCTCACCCATTTTGTCCAGCCCCTCATCCTCCTCCCCTCTGGCAACCATATTTGTTCTCTGTGTTTATGGGTCTGTTTCTGTTTTTTTGTGTGTGTGGTGTGTGTTTGTTCATTCATTTGTTTTGTTTCTTAAATTTTATATATAAGTGAAATCACATGGTATTTGTCCTTCTCTGTCTGACTTATTTCACTTAGTGTAATACCCTCTAGGCCAAACAGCTAAGCTTTTTATTGACCTCTGTGGTTTTCCAAACCACTGCTCATTCAGTGCCATCCTTCTGTTCCAGAGGACCCGCCCCCCATGGTTCCGTCCCACCAACTCCCTGGCCACGTCTGCAGCCATTACTCTCCTGAGAAGTTTCCTCTGCTTCGTGGCATGAATTCCAAAGTACAGGCTTTGCTTGAGAGATTCATATTACAATCGTGAGTTTTCCTTTTTTATTTAACTGGAACAATTTCTTTATTAAAACGACCAAACCTGAAAAAGAGCAACCAAGAAAGCAAGTAATTGTTTTCTTGCAAGTTTTAATTAGAAAGAAATGCCAAGTACATTTAGGTATGTGCTTCCTTGATTGTTCTCATTTCTTTGGCGACCTTATACTTGGACTACTTTTATAATTTTTAAGAAATTCAGCCTGAATTCTGTCATAGGGTCAAAAATCAGAGGACTTATGTATTTTTAGTACCTGGTGGTAACCTTTTGTTTTAGCCAGACGGAATAATGGTCTACCTGCTAATGCTGAAAAAAATGGACTGAATTTCTATCTCCGGCAAGTAAATTAGAAAGGTTTGTGAAGTTCCCACTACACCCTTTATCTGAGTTTCTCTGCATTATTGCTCTCAATTAAGAAAAGAGAAAGAAAGAAGAAACAGCTTGTGAAGTTCTCCATACTAAGAGTAGAAAAATTCTTTGGTTAGTTTCTTTAAGTAAAGAAGCTAATTTTCCCTGTGTTCTTAGAGAAAATTGACGCAGCTTTCTCCCCATCCGCATTGGCACTTCCTAAGTGCAGGCTGGAAGGGAATTGAGGAATTCCTGGATAAGAAGCTAATGGAGCCCAGACAAGAAGGCTGCCACTTCCCTAGATTTCCACTTGATTGAGTATAAAATAGTCACAAAAAAGCATTAGAAACTGGGAGTGGAGAGTATGAAGGAGCGGCTGCACCTTGCCAGTTTGTCAGTGATAGTGCAGGTGGACTCAGGTGAAGGATGGACTAATAGGAATCAAGGCTTTCCACTTGAGACTCGGAAGTCGGGGGGCATGGTTCTTGGTAGATCTCCCTCTCCAGCCCTCGTCTAGGGGGATTGCTGCTGTGATGGTCTGGCACAGGCTAGCGAGGTCAGGGCATGTCACACTCAGTGGGCCAGGGCTGGTTCTTCCTGGCTTATGCTAAACACAGACAGAGAGTCTCATCTGGCTCCTCAAGAAGATGAGCATGACAAACAAAAAATTGAGGCATTGATGCAGCTAATTCTGGGCTGCCCAACAAACAAAGAACCTCCGCTCCAGCCTGGAGACTGCTCTTCCTGCTGTGTCCACCTCTGGCTTTAGTGACCCAGGCCATTCAGTATTTATACTCTGAATAAAAGAAAATTGCATTAGTGCCCAAACTTTCATTTCACTTATTATCTGGATCTGAAAGATTCAGACTAACATCCAAATAATCTTTGACAGAAACCATCTCAATTCCCAGGATTGAACAAGCACAAGTGCCTCATTAAGGATAAGGAAACAGGCAGAATCCATCAGATATATGAAAAGGTATTTCTGTTTGAAACAAGGGGCCTATGCTGAAGAATCAGAGCTGATGTCTTCTTATGAGCTATAGTTACTGGACTATATTAAAAACTTTCAAGTTTTTAATCTGTGATCTTAACGTGATAGAGAAGAGGTTGTCAAGTCTATAAATAATCAAGGTGGGGGGCACCTGGCTGGCTCAGTTGGAAGAGTATACAACTCTTGATCTCGGGGTCATAAGTTTGAGACCCATGTTGGGTTCATAGATTACTAAAAAATTAATAATAATAAATAAACTTTTAAAAAAGAAATAAGCAAGGTGGTTGTGAAGAACAACAATCTGAATTCAGAAAACGGAGCATAGAAGAATTGATTGCCCCTTTTTAAAACCTAAATGAAGATCAGATTTGCTGTTGCAGGACATTCAGTCAATGAAGTAAATGATAACTCTTGGAATTAATCCAAGTTTCAGAGGCAAAGAATAAAGAGATGAGAACAATGTGAAAAAATTTCAAAAGATAAGTAATGAAGGACTGAGTAAGGAGGTCTAATATACCTATGACGGAAATTTTAGGAGTGCCTGGGAAGCTCAGTTGGTTAAGCATCCAACTCTTGATTTTGGCTCAGATCATGGTCTCAGGGTTGTGAGAGTGAGCTCCGTGTCAGGCTCCACCCTGGGCAAGGAGCCTGCTTAAGATTCTCTCTCTCCTTCTCTCTCTACCCCTATCCCCCTCCCCCTTTACCAACAACAACAAAATGCTAAGAAAAGAGAACAGGTGGATGTAGGAAAAGAAATTATCAGGAAATAAAGAGGTCAGGAAATTTTCTTATAGAGAAAATCAACAACTGGCTACTTAGAAAGAAAAATGTGATTACATTAGATTCCTACTTCATAAATTCTAGATAAATATTTAAATATGAAAATAAAGTCATTAAAAAATTAGGATGACATAAATGAATATATTATACAGCTCTAAGTAAGATCTTTTAAAGCCCAGCACCAAAGTCAGAAACTAGAGGAGAGCACTGATAGATTTAATTACCAAAGAATTAAAAATATCTGTATATCAAAATTATTATGTACAAAATGTGAAAGCAAATGAAAACAAAATATGTCATAGTCTTTGTAACAAAAGTTATAAAACTGGCCTAGAGGAGGTGCCAATAATAAATATTTGTTGAACACAAGAATTATGAGGGGAAACCAGAAAGCACTCTTTTTAAACAGTAAGAACCGAATGCCCTGGTGGAAACACAAAGGACATGAATAGGGAATTCACAAAAGAAATACAAATGCTTAACAAACATATAAAAATTTCAGATTCATTAGTATAAAATCAGTCTAATTAAAATGTCACCATTTTAAAACTAATTCAATTGGCAAATAATAGAAATAATCATAATATTTTAATCCCACAGATTCACACATTCTCATACCCCGGATAGCAATGTACATGGCATGCTCTTTCTGGATATCAATTTGCAAAGATGGAAATACTATTTGCATAATCTTACATAATCTGGAAATATGCAATAAAAGTTTCAACATACTTTATTTGTATCGTTGGAAACAGCCATTTCACTTGTGGAATTTTATCCTGAGGAAAAAAATTAGAAGACTACAAAATGAAACTAAGTCTGTAACACACTATTACAAACTGTTTTTCAAGAATAGTTAATGAAAGTGAGGAAACAGTCTAAACTTGAGTAGGAAGGCAAGTTAAAATGCCACGAACAGCTGATAATGTAATAGTACCTAACTGGTGGTGTGCTTGCTATATGCCAAGCATAATACTTAGCATTTTACATGAAACATCTCCTTGTGCTTCAGTGGGTGTAAATTCTAATCTGATACCCATTTTGCAGATGAGGAAGCTGCAGCCTAGAGATGTGAGGTTTAGAGCCTTCTGTTTGAGAATCCATGTAACTACTATATTATAAACTGCGTTTAATTTTTTTAATGCATCAATATGATATAGAAAAAGACTGGCAAAACATTCTTTACAGTGTTACTAATGGAATAATTGGTAATTTTTAATTCCTTCTTTTATATACTTTAATATTTCTCCCAATTAGTGTGTATTGGTATTAATATCAGAGGGAGAACTGCAACAGTTTTAAATCCCCCATATTAACTGAGCTCAGGCCCTAAACCACCTCCTCCCCTTTCCCAGGACCCACCCTCACCCAATTTCTTACATTTACTTTATTTATATATCCTTCAATGGCAATTCATGTCCCTTATGATAGTCTTGACAGAATCTGTCAGATCCTTAAGAAGCTATTGCACATAAACATAAACTCTACCCTGGCCATACGTACAGTATAGGGGTTAAATGAGTGGGGCCAGAGTGCTCGGTTCAGATCTCCACTTGAACTTAGCATTTATTTCCCTTGGGTGAGTCATTTATAATTATTATTCAATAATCAGTTATAAGTTAATTCTTTTCTCAGTAAAGTGAAGAGAAAAATAGTAGCTTTTTCCTTGTTTGCAACGAAGATTAAATGAGTTAATATACATAAAGCACAGTGACTGGCCCATGGTAAGTATGACATGTGTTAGCTGTAATTTGTATTAATATACTTATTAAACCTTGAAAGTAAGTAATATATTATAGAAAGACTTTCAAGAAAATGAATTCTTTTAGGTCTCTTGTTGGCTTACCCTGTTAACTGGGGAATAGAATGAACTGGAACAGACCATTGTCTGAACATTATACCGAGTGGCATTTTCACAATGGTATTTCCTTGTCAGCCTGATAAATGAAGAATATGCAAGAAATTGAAAATTCTGATTAATAAAGAAGTTAATAGAGACTGGGGTTCAACAAAAGTGAATTTGGTTCTTATTAAACTCTAGAAAGGTAAACCCCAGTCTTGGTGGGGGCGGGGGGAGCAGTTCTTGAGGAGGGCAAACTGAACAATAACACCATGAATTAATTATGCTCCCCAGGTGTGAGCACAACTTTTGAGAAACACCAAAGGGGACCGTGTGAATAGACTATTTGATTGGCTTTGCGGTAGCACTAATAAGTGCTTGACTTTTGCCAGTGTGGTAATTTAGGAATGATAAGTGGAACCTGCCAACAATGCCATTTTACTTGATTGCAACATAATTGCGTTTATGTCATTGATATCAAACTGTGCATAATGAGAGACTATTTTAACTCTAATAACAAATAATACACTTTGCTTTTACATAGCTAGATAATATCCTACAGAAGCAACATCCTCATGTCGTAGAATAATGGCTTAATATGCCTGTTACAGGAAGACCTGCTTTCTCAGACTGTTGAGATATTGTTCACAGACAAGGTTGATGGCATGGTTATTTTTATTTCACAATGTAAAACTAGGTTGATGTGTGCTTGTTGACTGTGTTACACACTTGACTAAAGGATGAACTTGAAACATAGGGTATAGAATTCAACAACATACTTCATTCTAGTATGCAGACAGCATTGGATCTTCACAGCACCGTGAGTGTTAATAATAAGGACAACCTTTGTGACGTTTTAGATGCTAAGTAAGACTTGAAATTGAAGGCAACAAAAGCAAGTTAACAATAAAATAAAGGCTATTTTGAGTATCTGTAATGCATTTGTGACTTAACATCTGAAAATTTTACATAACTGGTTTATCCTAGAGCTGTGAC